CCTACGAGCTGCCCTTCCACTGAGTTTACGTCCGTCCCGATGGCCCCCGAGGCACCGATGAAGCCTTCGGCGCAGCGCCAGCCGCCCTCGGGCGCCGCCGCGTAGCCCTTGGGCAGTGGCTCCGGTGCTGTGCCTTACCACTCGGAGTCGTTGGGCTGATTGGGCCTGATAAAAGAGGTACACTCCCTAAAAAGACATTGAAGTGGATGGGAAAATAGCCCAGAGTTTTTAGGATGACCATGAGATGACTCCGAAGACCAAACAGGTGGTGAAGTCTACTTCCGTGATACTTCTGGTCTGTTGGGAAGAACGTTCCTACAGCTTCGGAGCCGTGTCAAAACGGCGCTTCTTCGCTGGCCTGCTGAGCGAGTTCAGAAAAAGCGTTGATCCAAAAGGACCGCGCGCGCGCACCGTGTCAAGGTAATCCCAGTGCATTCCAGAAATTCCACTGACTGGTTACAGGCAATACCCCGGATAACTTGGTGTTACCCTGAATACCCTGCTAATACCCTGACTGGAATTCCACATACCTGGAATACCCTGGATGCCCTGGCAATACCTGGAGGTGCAAGGATTTGAAGTGTCACACGCGCCACGTCCGATCTATAGTGGTTTGTCTGGATCCATTATGGGTTCTGCTTTCAATCTCTGACTCCCAGCGGGACCTGCACCTATCCCACACAGTCTTAACTTCTGAATGATTTCCCTCGCTAAGCGTTCTAGAATCCAAGTCAAAACCGATCCCCTTGCGATGTTAATTTTCGAATCATAAGTAGCTTGGTCTCTACCAGCTGGACCCCGAGCTCTTGGCGCTTGCTACAGCTACTAAGGCAGCTGCTATAGCTCCCAACCCGTCAAAGTCTATCCAATCAACTTCCCCAACCACGGCCTTCTTTCCATCTCTTTCCACTCTTATAATGTCCCTGACGAGCAGCACTGTAGCACGCAAGTCGGTAACCTGGATGAGCTTCAGTGAGCTGCTTTGGCAATGGTGACTGGTGACGATGAGATTCGATCAGGATGACGTTGAAACACAATTTAGTTGAAAAACTCTCTCACTTAAAAAGTTTAGGAACCCTCGTTCAGTCGTTCGCATTGAATTGATTCAAGGTCAGTCAGGGATTTCACCACTTTCCGGATGCATGGAAATGACAAAACAAATCTTGAGACGTACCACGTTTAAGAAGATACACATTATTGTTTCGGAGGCTGAGTCGAACTTTTTTTGTAAGTTGTGAAGATCAGAGTTTGGGTTCTGATTGCCTTTTTGGGGGTCCGGACGAGATTCGGATGTCTTTTCGGAGGTTTTTTGAGGGATCTGAGTTGTGTCCTTGTGTCCTTGCTTGCGGAGCCCGGAGGTTTTCCGGAAGATTTTCCGGAGTGTCCGGAGGAGGTTTCGGAAAAGGTTCCTCTTCACAGGAAAACCCCCCTCCGTTGCACGGTCCGTCGCGCTGCTCTCCGTCCGCTCTCCGCCGGGCGGCTGCAGCGTGGCGTTCCGCTGCTCCACGTTGTCACGGGGACACGTGGCGTTGGTCGACGGACCCGCAAAGGGGGGCGAGCACATCACCTCACCTGAGCGGGGGTTTGGAGGGGGGGAGCAGGAGGAGGATTTGGGAGGATTTCACATCACGTGAGCAGGAGTTAGGAAACCAGAGGTTGAAGAATGAATCCTAGTAACTTAGTTCGAGTATGGCAGTTGGGTACCTATGTAAGGTGAGGGGGTCCTATAGTTAAGGTCACTTGACCTCTCTTGGGAGAATGGGTTTGGAAGTACAATAAGGGTTGGGTTAGACAGTCTCATAGACGCATGAAAAGGATCTCAGAGGATCCAAAAGAGGCCTCTATTGACCAACCCCACCCCCGAGATCTTAGGTGTCTTGTTTCTGTGCAATGAGAAAAGATGGAGGATTTGTCACTGGTTTCTTCATTTGGCCAACCTAGTTCAGCGAGTTCAGTACTGGAATCGGTCTGTGATGCAAAACACAGGCTGAGTTTGCTATGCTGCTATATGTCCTACCAGGCGATCCGAGCTTGGCAGCTACTTGGATGGGCCCGCCCGTTCAAAACAGTTCGGTATCCGTAGCTTGTCAGAACCAGCTTTTCAGGTAGCCTTCATGTTCGGCACCTCACTAGTCCAATTTGCTGGACTACTTCACTACTTGGTAGCCCTCTAGCCCATCCATTGAACCATACAGATCCAGTGCTGGAGCCGGCTGCTGTCCCGTTCGGCTGAGCCGGGAACTCTTCAAACTGTTCAGGGTGGGAACAAGGTAACATGTCTTGCTCTCCAAATGGTGCTTCTTGTGTGAGATGCTGATCGTCCGTCGAATTAACTCATATTTGGAAGGTCTGGCAGTCCAGCATGATCAACAACTTATGGAATTCAAAAATATGGTGATTCACTCTAAACGAGTAGGCAGTACAGTCCCACGCAAAAACAATACGGAGATGAAGCACTTCACCTAAATGGAACCTGAACATGACCTTGCAAACAAATCCATTCAAAGACAAACATGACCTTCCATAGACAACAGCGTTTGTTCTGAATCATCAAATGCTATGACAAAACAAAGCCATCAAACGATTCCCGCACCCGGAAGCCTAGCACACTTGGACTCTCTTCCTTTTTTTGCGCAGCGACGGGAACAACACATGTTCTCGTCGCTGGGGGCTATGTGAGAGGCCAATCCCTTGAAGGATGCTCTCACTTTGGAGCCGACTCTCACGACCTTCGGATGGTTGTTCATCCGCACCTGCACCTTCAGATGGTGACGGTCACACGCATTGGCGTTGCAATCCCTGACCTGTGTGGAATATGTCCTCTCCATTTGCCCTGTGGCCGGGACCCCAAATTCAGCTTCACTGAACGAGCTCCACCTCCGAACTGAGTGAAGAACCCCGAAAACCCCCCCAAAAAGGTGAACCCTGCAAGTGATCCACGAACTTCCTGTTTCCTCAGTAGAAGGCGGATGGGTGTTTTCCCATTCTGCGCTGTGGACACAATAAAAGCTGTGCACTGCGAGCACTTTGGTCACTGGTTCCGGAGGTCAAAATCCGGGTCGAGGTCTGACCCGGGTCCAAACTTGGGAATTACCTCGTTATAAGATGTTATAAGTAATATAATATAGTGCTGCTGTTGTATGACCAACCTCCAATCAACTGAGGTCAGTTCCTGACCTGGGCTTAGTTATCTTATTTCCAGTGTTTCCCACCCTATTACTACTACACATTAACATACCATCTCAGCCATTAGGGCACCACGTTGCGGTGAACCTGCTGTGAACCTGCAACGCCACGGTGTTGCATCACACACGGCGATGAGAGAGGCACCGGTGGTGCCACACTCACATCAAGTCTGCGCGTTCGTCCGCTTCATCCTCGTCGCGGTCTTCACCTCAGTGGGAAGTTTTTGGGATCCAAAACACACCGAGCGGTGCCACACGGAAAGTCGGTTCAGACCCAAAACACCGGGGGTCACCTTCCTCTCCAACTGCTTCAAGGATCTTCAAGGGTATTCCGAATATAAGGGTCACCCTGTGGAGGGCGGCATGCAGGGGGATTCCTCCAAACCCTTGGTCCTCGCTCGGTCTCACAGGGTCCAGGCGACCACGTCGGGGTGGACAGTTCAATGGTTTCGTCTTCTGGAACTGGTCGACTGGGAGAACTCAGCCAGTCCAAGTCGTTTGAGTTTGGGCATATTTGTCCATCCCCACGGTGCGAAACCATAAAATGATTTCAGGGAGTGTAGACATGTGTAGACTTCATGGGTCTACACTCTACACCCTGAACTCATGTTGTGCTTTCGCACGTGGGGATGGACCAATGACCCCCCCTTGACCGCACTCCCCTTGACCTTGACCGCTAAGAGATTTCACCCCATGAGGCCCTATAGCCTATATAGATGGTCTTGTTGGCTCCGAAGAACATGTCCCACATGGCGCACAGCCTTCGATCTCCGCCCCAACCGTTGTGTTTTACGGTCTTTGAAGACCCTCAGTCATACCTATAGATCTTCCCACCATATGCAAATGCTTTTGCCTTTTGGCTGGTTTCATGGACCATAAGTCTGACCGAACAACCCCTCCACCACTATCAAAAGCACCCACGCGCCGCGTAACGAGCTCGAATCATCGCACTGTGTTTTTGATTCGGTCGAGTGACGTGTGTCCGGTGGAATCGCAGCCGCCAATTCCGCTTGGATTCGCTTCCGCTTCTCTTGCACCGTCTGAAGCCTCGGGGAAACGAAGTCTCCAGTGGAGTCTTGACCTACTTCAGTAAACCAAAGGTCCAAACATGTCTTAAGATTTTGGACGGAGTTCATCTTGGATTTGCGGCTCCCAGCAACTGGAAATATAAAAATATCTTCGCCTTGCCAGGGGATTCACTCATATATCTATATATATATAGAGAATCAACATCAGCTATAAGCAAAACCAGGTATATTGACCCTCATCTGAAAGATCACCCCAACTGATTCAACTGATCGGCATAAGGAATGGGGGGGGTTCGGCGTGGGAGAAGTCCAATAAGTTTGCCGTGTTGGAGGATGTTGGGTGCCATTTCCTTGGGATCTGCGAGGAAGTGCAAGGTGCTTCAGAAATCTCATGGGATGGTTGGCCAATCTTGGAAAATGGGTCTTGAGAGAGAAGAGCAAATACAATTCCTTTGACTCTGCATGGTGACTTAGTTGGAAAAGGGATGGAAAAGCTCATGGCTGGGAACTATGGATTTGTCTTCGGTCTCTGAGTGCCTAACAGCACCAAGTCTAACCTCTAGTGGGAGAAAACCAGGATGGTCTAAGTCTGAAGCCGGTGGAACAGGAGAGGTCTTTTGTCACTCAATGTGGCAACAGACTCTGTGCAGTGTCTCGTCAACCTGGAACCCATGTCTGCCGACCAAAGGAGCAAAACACCAACCACCAACCCATCAATACGGCACCAAAAAAGCCACCAAGCAAAAGGTTCTACCACCCCCCTCGAAGAGCCAAAGTTCTTGTTCATTCATCTGAGTTGCGAGTTGTCACGATAGAGCAACATCCCCACGAAGAGCGCTGCGAGCAAGCTCACACCACCCAAGATCATACAGGCCTCAGAACCGGATCCACTTGGGCCACGCAACACAGTCACTTGGGGCCTCCACCCAGCAGAGGTGGGTACTGTTCGACGATCCTAGTTGGGTACCCCTGGTGGCGGGTCCTAGTTCAGGACACTGGCTACGTATTCCAGCCGTTGTTCACAGCTGAAAGAGCTATCCCAAATGATCTCATCTTTGAACCGAGAAGATTGACCAATGCAATGGTTCATTAAGTTAACCGAGTTTGGTTTCCTTTCCAGACCCAGGGTTCTGGAGGTATGTTTGGCAGGTGACTCCAAAATCGTAGACAAATGTGACAAGTACATCCCCTGTAAAGAAGTCTTGCTTGGATCATCTTGGGTCTATCTCATTACCAGTAACGGTGGATGATGATGACGATGATGATGATGATGATGAGGAGGAGGAGGATGAGGATGAGTAGAGGCCTTTGTCAAAAGTTGTGAAAATTGTTTACCGACTGTTGCAGATAAGAGGACAGGCCCAAAGTATTGTTCTTATGTTTTTTGGGAACACTATCAAACCACATATTGTGGGTTTTCTCAGGTTCAATATTGAGGAGCAATGCCACAACATGTGGTGACACCCGGCAATGTGAAGTATGACATAATGACATCCTGCATTGAGCAATTCACCAGCCGACTCACATCCCAATTCATTACAGTATATTACCAGCTATCCGCTTTTTTCGCAAGGGTTTTGGACGACCAACATCGATGCACATCCCAAAGCGGTGAAGCCAAAAGGCGATGAAGCCAGCTTCCAGTCCTCGGAAGGTGCTTTGCATCTCACTCAACCTTAGCCATGGCATCACTTCAGCTCGGATTCGGGTGAAATGCCGGTCTTGTACAAAGCGGAGTAAATAGTTCAGGAGGCAAACCAAAACAGGTCGATGACCAGTTTCCAACGGAATATTCTATCTACAACATGGTTTCCAACATGGTTTGTCTCGAATCCCATGGTTTCCAACATGGTTTGTTTGATTTGCCCCAGAATATTCTACAGTATCTACGACAGGATGACCAAGGATTCCTAAATATTGACGAACGTCCTGTCACTTTGAACGCTAATAAAGCAGGACTGGCCGCATCATCGGGGGGGTTCTACAGAACCTATACAGTGTTTTCAGAGTAGATGGCACAATCACCCATTGGCTATATATTATCTTCTAAAAACCATCTCCGGGCGCCAGTGCCACTTACATCCATCTACTCTGAAAGCACGTACTGTATAAATACGTGGCTCAATGCCTCAGCGGGGCAGGGACTACCTCCGACCTCCGACCGGTTCGCACGCTTCATCTCGCCTTCTTCTGCAACTGTAACGAACTACCAGGGCCCTGATGAAATCACCAGACCATTGGGAGTGAACCGGTGCTCTGATTGATGGCGCCGGAATCTCCTTGGGCTTTGGGGAACGACCTGGGCTCCAAAGAATTAACATCAGTGGACCTTGCGGTGGGTTGATATGCGAAGGCACCTTTGTAATGGGGATAGGTCAAAACCTGGAGCCCAAACACCAGGCAACTCGACCTTCCAAGTAGGTCAACCATGGCATCCTGGTTTTGCGCCGCAGGCAAATCTGGTCAGACACTCACCTGGCAGGTGGAGAAAAAATGGCCACCCAGGGCTTGACCAACAAAGACAGTCACTTCTGATCCTTTTCCATCGATCCTAGTTGTTTAACTCCCGTAAACAATCCGGTCCGCAGCCAGCCAGCTAGAACCAAGCGAAGAGCCGATCGACCGGCCCGTTCGAACGCACAGCAGGCCAGTTCACAGCTGCCGTTCCGCTTGCGTGGCATTCTTCGTGTTCATGCGCCAGTAGAGGGGAATGGCCACACTCTTGTGCTTGGTGAAGAAGTAGTTTCGGTCGTCCTGACCCGCTGCAACGATCGAAAGCAAGCTCCGCTGCTCAGGGCGAGCGAAAAGGGCGCCCTCCACCGGAGCCGAGCCGACGTTGTTTGGTCAAAGATCGGGTCTTGATCGGATCTTGCTGTGTACACATGTCCCAAAAACCACGGAAGCTGGACTCGTAGGATCCAAATCCCCAGAAACCAGGAATGGTGTCTTTTGTCTTTTTTCGAAGAAGCAGAATATGCAGATCAAGAGCTTCTGCATCATTGGCATCAGCTTCTGCACTTCCTATAGACAAACTCTTCTCATGCAAACACTGCGAGGAACCCTTAGTCTCTCAGTGTCACCAAAAGGGCCTTTGGGGAGTGGTTTCGCACCCAAGACCCTCCATCCTGTTGCTGGTTCAGCGGAGAAAAGAATCATCTTCCGCATGCCAGGGGCTTCACCGAATTAAAACCCAAAAACCACTAAGCCCCACAAAACTACCACCCCACCCGCTGTAAAGCCCACCCCCCATCTGGCTTGACACAAACTGGACCCTCCAATTCACCAGACCTTGGGCGCGAGGTCTTCCAGCGTTGGGAACCACCCGAGAAGCTACCGCGACCGCGGCTCCCGCCGTGCCGCTTCCCTTCCGTGCCGCCGCACCACCGAGGTCCTTGTAGAGTCGCACGGAGATCCTCAGAACTGCCGTGGACCGTCGTTCGGTCGAGGGTCGTGGGTCGAGGAGTTTCGAAATACCGAACATGTGGACGACGAAAGGTCCTTCAAGTCCCATGTTCCAAGGTGCAAACCGGAGGGTCAAGGAACATCACTCAGTCTAGCTCTTCAAAGGGAGGGGGTGGAAATGGGTGGAATATACCTTTTTAATGTGACCCTGTGATATAGACATGTGAACGTTTATATTGACGGAGGTGACTCCGGCCGAGCTCTGACACGATCAAGGGACCTCGTAAAACACCGGAACTGGAACTGGCATGCTGACCGACCAACTAATATTACATACCAGATCGCACCAGAACCTTCCAACAGGTGGTTTTTGGACACCCCGAATCACCTCTAAGAGGCTATAGCCTCTTAGACACCACGAACGGAAGGTCCTGGTACATGGAGCGTGAGTTCGGGTCATATTTTCAAGCACAGGTCTTCACTGGTGACCAGTCCACAAAACACACCGTGGTCTATAACAGGATCCAAGTGAGTTTCTTGGGATTCAACAGGATCCAAAGGTGCATATGCCAGGTGTGATTCCTCCAATACTTGGAACCAACTTCAAGCACCTTGAAAAAACGGGAGGTGACCCAATCATAAACAGGTACTTGGGGCCTCATTTTCCGAGGTACGTTGAGACTCCAGACCTGTGATTTGTCACCATACGTGGCAGGATTTCCATTAAAAAAACTAGTCCGTGTTCCAACAAAACTACACCCTAGGGCTCCCACCATATCCTCAGAAGGTGGTTAGACCCCCCCAAACCCACCATAACCATCTTCTCAGGAGGTAGTTGGAGCCCTAGGGACAGGCTTGCAAAAAAAGATGTTGAAACAGTTACATGTCCACCTAGCACGGATTCATCACCCCAACTTGTGGATGAGGTCAAGTTACACCACATGAATCAACCAGTCAAACATCATTTTGACGAAACACAATATCCGAAACGCGAATCAACCCACACAACCTCGTTTTAAACACATCACCCCTACCCAACATCACCTTTTGTCAAAAACGTCCCAAAAACGCTGCCAGGGCTCTGTTCCTTGAACATTTGCTCCAAAACGCGTCCGGAATGTGGCTCAATCACCTCGCCGAACCCGAAGCGCCGGACCAGTGTGGTGAGACCCGGAGGGTCATGCTGAATGCGCTGAAGGTCACAAGCACGAGGCCCCCTGTCCCTTCAGATCCGTTTCACTGATCCATGTCTGGAGCGAAGAAACCGACCGATGATCCATCATCCATGGAACCCCCCAAAAACCTGAGCCATTGGTGACCCGTCCTCAGTCTCATCCAGTGACGATCCCGTCCGAGTCTCGACCTGACGGTCCACGGTCCACGGTCACGACCGACACTCCACCGACGCCCGGGCACCGCCATGTTCCGATAGCGGGGCCCCGTGGGGGTCACGAAGCCGATCAAGTTGTTGCCTTGGAAAAGGAAGCGAAGGCGAGGCGAAGGCGATCTGCGTGCGTCCGAGACCAATGACCCAGTAATTTTGAAGTGATCCTGGGTTTGTTGGAGGTAGGTGTCTGAAAGTGACTCTACTATATATATATATGTTATTTAATGTTAGTTATATGATGTATGGGGTCAACATGTTGATGGGACAACACAAAATGCATCACAGCTGTCTTAACTTGGAACGGGGAGGGTGCTCAGGCTTTATGAGCCTTCAGGGCCATAAGGCCAAGGCTACCACCTAAACAGTCCACCAGTACACTTGCCTGGCCCAATAAGCAGAAACTCGCAGTCAGGTTGAACAGCAGGAGATGCAACAGCAGGGTAGCACCCCAAAAAAATCTGCAAGCATGCCACAGGCACCATCCACGATGCAGTCATCAGCGAGGTGCAGGACCAAAGCATGAACATCAACATTGCGACCAACATAAGTTTATCATCATCATCATCATGATCATGATCATGATCATCATCATCATCATCATCATCATCATCATCATCAGCAGCAGCAGCAGCCATCGGGTGGCTCACGCATACGTTGGACTGGAACATTCCTCCCCAAGATTTACCCTCGGGCGGGTCACAAAAGGTATGAGAAGTTGGTATGGCTCCTTCCTCCTCAATTTTTCCATCGGATTGCTCACAAAAGGTGTGCTATGTTGGAATTGATCCTTCCTCGTCCAATACTTTTGCGCACAGGTGGGTCACAAAGGTATGCTACGTTGGAAGGGCTCCTTCCTCCTCTAGATTTACCGCCATCGGTCCTTCTTCCTCTGAATCAACGTCGGGTAGCTCACAAAAGTATTCTACGCTTGCATGGCCTTTTCTTAAAAAATCACTCTCGCATAGCTCACATAACGTATGCCATGTTTGCATGGCTCCTTCCTCCTCTAGATTTTACCTGCGCGTGGCTCTCAAAAGGTATGCGACGTTGGAATGGCCTTCCTCCTCTAGTTTGACCATCGGAGACTGACAAACGGGTGTGCTGGCAAATGTTTTCAAGATCTCTTTCGAGAGTGACCAGTCCGAAGGTCAAACGAGAGCTATATACCCTTTTGACCGCACGTGGTGTCTGGATCGTCACAAAACCTATCACATCCTATCACCATTGTCATGTGGTAAAACACACAGTTTGCTAGAAAACTGATGAAATCTTGAGTTGCAGTGAGGTAGGTTCTTCTTGCACTCTTGGTTTCAGGAGGGATCTCCTTCTCAAATTGAGCCCCATGAAATACTTGGCACATCCCTCAAATTCGTTGATATGTTCCAAACTGGGACACTCCATGCTACAGCGGACAGCGGGAGGACACCGGGACCCGTTTGCTACATCCAGTTGCGAGGGTGCTGCGTGGAATCTGGCGCCTCTACGAGGTAGAAATGCCTCGGGTCAAAAACCAACTCACAAAGCTGGCGGCTCTGGTGTTTCGTGACTCTTGATTAAGAAACGCCCTATATGAAGTACAAGTCCAAGTTTATTCTGCGCGGCTGTTGAATCGGATTCCTTTTTTCTGACCCACAACCCTTTTACACACGCGCTAAAAAAAAAACGAGAAACAACTCTTGAGGGTCTAAGTTGCAATGCCTGGTGGCGGGACCTTCTAGTACTTACAGGGACCAACTGCTCGTCTCCGTGCAGATCTCAACAGGACAGACCAACTGCTCGGACGACGGACCAACGGACGACTGCAGCATGTCGGCGGCGTGCGAGAGACCGTGCCCGGCGGTCGGAGTCGGATGTCAACGAACGCAGGGAACGAGTGGAATGTGACGCCCATGCTGAAAGGATGCCATGAGAGGTTCCTTCAAAACTTTGAAAGGATGTGCCTGCTGTCACTGACCTCTGAAAGTCCGAAAGTCAAAACAATCAGTCTGAGAAGCTCTCCACTTCCAGGGATGGAGAAGTCAGAGTGTACTCATTGCATCGGTGAGGGGCTGGAGAGTTCAACGCTTCCTTCTGCTTGACCGTTCGTAACCCAAACGAACGATCCCCGGGGTTTGAGGTCGCGAAAAAGGCACTGGAAAAGCTTGGGCACTGGATGAAGCTGGACATTGTTGACACCCCTCTCTCCTCTCTCCCCTCTCCTCTCTCCCCTCTCCTCTCTCTCTCTCTCTCTTTCATCTCCTCCGAGCGACGGCAGCGACCACACCTGGAATCGGTGGAACAACCAAAACGAATCGGTTGACAGGGGATGGTGGGCCGCTGGGATGGTTGAAGCGGATGATTGGCGGGATTTTTTTGAATGGCGGCCAGATAGATATATAGTGGATGGAGAGCAAATTGGGACAAGTTACCTCAATGTCGATGGTGTATATGGACCCCCGCATCTAAAGAACATTGGGGCTTTGCGCCATCTACTCTGAAAACCACTGTATAAAAGTGCTTCATTGGAATTCATTGGAACAACAACATGTTGTTTTGTGCCACATGTGCCACCAGTTCATGGTGTTTGGGGCAGTAGCTGTGCAAGTTGGATGTGGCCAACACAAATACCCCAGCTCTGAAATGAGTGGATTTATATTTTTTCAGGGAGTGTGACGGTAGGTTCTTTTCTGCGGCGCCTCATCACTCAATACCCAGCAATCCGCTTCAGAAATCCTTGGATTTGCTTAAGGAACTGAGAAAGTGATAGAAAGTGAACTATCAGTCCCCAGAAGGGGACTTATACTAAAAGGAACGCGACCGGATCGCCCAAGCGCCGTCAAACGCTTGAACTTCAGCTCGTCCGTCCGTCCGCCGCGCAGGTTGGTCCCAAGGGCAGTGAGATTGGCTCAGGGAACCGGAACAAAAAACAGGACACATCTTTCCTGAACGTTGGGAACCCCGGTCTGTGGTACACATGGGGTCGCGACCCGACCTTATAGTAAGTAAGTAACCACAGCCTGTCTTTCCACCAGGAAATCTGTGCCGAACTTCAAACTGTCTGTTAAGACTTGCGACGACAGGCAACCACTGGACTCCACTGTCTATGAGTCTATTGCATTGACATCTCGGAAAACCAACGTCCCGGGCCGCTGCTGGTGGTCTCCGAGCTCCGGCGAAACGCGGGTGGTCGCGGCCGAAGCGGCGCAAACCCGGAGCGGCCCAGGGAGCGCCCCCTCTGCCCGTGACCGTCCGAAGCCACGGAGACCGGATGGTGGCACAGTGGTCGCCGTTCCAGCACCACCCAAAGGGTGCTAAGGGTGCTGCTTATACTATAAGACTTGGTCGCACAAAAACGCGATGAAGATGAAGATCGTTATATCCCATGTCATTTCAACCACATGCCCAATGATTTTGCAACACATTGGACTGGAATACTTACAGCTAGTATACGCCCTATAAGATCTATATAAGATGTACTACATGTCTTTTTGCAGCTCAGTCCGTCCAGTCCCAATTGGTCTAGGTCAGGCCGACCTCGAACCGATCCAACGGTCTCCGGACTTGACCCGTGCGACGACCGGGGCACGTAGGGGATCTGGTTGTAGGCGCTGGAGAGGTCGAACATGCCGTTGAGCTCGTCGCAGTCGGAGCCGCGGTTCAAGACGCCGGACTCCGACATGGCCTTGAAGACCTCCTGGAGGGAGGTGGAAGCGATGGAGGTGCAAGGGCCTGAGGGAGGAAAGAAGGAAAAGAAAAACCACTCGTTTGTTTATTGTTTTTTTTGGAGGGGGGACCAAAGACATCTTGCCAAGATACTATAGAAAAGTGGGCAGTGAAGAAATGCATGGCTGCATGAGTCTTATATTTGATTCTGGTGGGGTCGCTTGGTTCCTGAAAGAAAGGTCGTGACCAACTGGACCACTTTTTTTGACGGCATGCTTTCAGTGAGACAACTCGCGAGCAACCAACTGGACCAACAGATTCTTTGGAAACTGGGATGCATTCCCTATCATGGGCCAACTATACTTACTTGGGTCTTGGCTCACGTTGTTGGTAGTGGTTGAGAATATCTCCTCTGTTTGTTCACATACCTCTGCGGATATGAACTCAATGTGCTAGCTGCTAGCAGTGGGGTGACTCTCACCATGCACAAACACAAGAATAGAGCCACGTAACTGTCACATGTTGTCTGAACAACTTGCGTTTCCTTGTCATCACCCCCCTTCCAACTCTGGATGAACACATGACACCCATAGCATGCTATTCCCCCAACTCCTCCCACGGTATGCCCACACCATCAAAAAAGAACACACACACAAACCCACACCATAATATCTTGCTCTTAGCATCTTGCATCCTCCTCCATCCCAAAACGCGACGCGACGGAACGCGATCCGCCTCGCAGTTGAAGGCCAGGCGCGCCGCCGCGAGGCCCTGCGCGTCCAGCTCGTAGCGCTTGGCCGAGACCACCGCGGTGCCCTCAGCCGCGAGGTCCAAGTCCTGGCGGTCGAGGTCCACTCGCTGCATGTCTGCGAGCGGTTTGGCGCGTTTGGATGGGACCACGAGTTGCTTTCAGAGATGGAGGAAGATGGAGGAAAATTGGGGAGGATTGGAAGGATTTTTTGTTGAGATGGGTTTATAGATGACCTTGTCAAATGCTTGAAATCCTGGATTTTGGGTTGTTGATGTTGTTGTTGATGTTGTTTTAGGATAGGTTTTGTCTTGTTTTGAGGGGTGATGGCATGTTGGACCTGAGTGATTGGCACTAATTCAAAAGGACAGTGCTCATTGGACATGGTTCAAATGTTTATCATCTCAAGGAAAACATAAGAAGTGCCTCGACTCAGAAAATATAAGTTGTGCATGAACACCTGCTATTTTGACACCAACACTTGAAGACTTCTGGCCATACAAAGGAAAGTGGAGTGAAGCTGGCAATGGATTTGGCAAAGGGATTGGATACCTCTCCCAATGCGGACTTGTGCAGTTTGCTATGCAGCTAATGCAGGTCTGTGATGTTGGAAAACATATACGTCTTTGTTTAAGTCTACGAGTCTATGACTGATTCGTTTGCAACTTTGTAGGTTATAAATAACATGTTGTCCCTGGAAACGATCTGGAAAAGAACCATTGACAACCCCCAGCCTTCGATGTGACCTATATAATATATATATATGACCCTTGCAAGACCGGTCAAAAAAAACCACGGAATCTCACCATGTTTCTTTCGATGCAGTTGGGGGAGTTCTTAAGGGGCCGGAGTCTTTTTTTTTCGCCCGAACCTAAACCCCTTGTGAGGGTGAACCACCAAACCCTCACGAAGTCTTGAAGGGTCTGGAAGGGCTGAAGGTACGATGACCACTTTCGGTCCTGTGAAGTGACGCTTTCGTGATGAAATGGCGGATGGGCATCGCGGGCCTTCTATCCCAAAGAGGACCAATACCAAACCTACCTATGGAACATCAGTGACGACTCTATTTGGGACCACCGAACAACCCAAAAAATATGGTCCTTTTATGAGTTCCTATCAAAACAGAGGTCAGGTGGATTCTAGACAACGTCTTCCTATCTGGGAGGCATCTTCATTCGATCACCTCACAAAACACGCACCAAATACCGCCCCTTTTGTGCACACCGACACCTCGATGAAGGAGTAGGCCACTGGTCTCATCAAGGTTTGCGAGAAGAAATGCACCGTGTCCTGGGGCGAAATCCAAAGCTGCGAGCCCTATGAAGGGGGTGTTTCTAAAGAGTGACCCCCGGGTAATCTCTAAAAGGGTCTAAGGAATAAATGAAAGGACACTATCCTTTTAAAGAAGGTAAATTTAAAGGTGTCCAGCAGTCTAGCACCACCCATTTCTGGGTGGTGTTTGGATGGACGATACATGCTTTTTGGAGGGCTCTTTATAAGCACCCGAGATGGATTGTGCTGGATCCCCAAAATTAAGGATCCCCTATTGGGGTCTGGACTTCCAAAACATGAGTGGTGGACCCAAAGAAACTTGTGAAACAACTATAATTATATAGGGTCTATTCTAATACCTGTAACAGTGGATGAAGATGGTTAGTAAAGGCCTTGTTCAAAAGTAGTGATAATTGTGTACTGACTGTTACAGGTAATAGGACAAACCAAACTATATACAATTGGAAAGATCTCAGGATTCCAGGACAAAGTTCGACAAACAAGTGTATACAATTGGATTTGCTGTTCAGGAACCCGGGAAAAATTAAAGAACAAATTCCCAAGCAGGGGATTCACCCATAGGGAAAACCAGAAATCCCCTTAAGCAAAACCAGGCTACAATACAGTGGGATTTAGATTTGATATGACTACAGTTGGATTAAAATTTAGATCCAATATGATATGACCTAATACATTTCGAGTTCCAAGAAAGGTCCTTCATCCAGTTTCAATAAGTCGTCACGCGCGATGGAATTCAAACCCACTTCCTTGAATCAACCCCTACACACCTGTTGGTCAGCTTCCTATACTCGCTGCTTAGCTTTCCATGTGTCCTCTACTGATATAATGTTGTGTACCAACTCTTTCCTATTAGAGAACATCGATGAACATCGACGTCCACATCCAGCCTTTCCCCACCGTGCAACACCATGGGACTGGCATAGTAAAACCGCCCCGGGTGGTGCCATGCCGGGGACTGGCTTGATCTTCTCGGCATATATGACAGACATCGGTCGCGTCTGGGATACCATATCAACAAAACGATCCAAACCGGGTAGAAATAGATAGACATAGAAATAGATCCGAATTCCACCGGGTAGAAATCGAAACCCTTCGCATTCGCACCCCCACTCGGACTCGCGGTCTTGGTCTTCAGAGTCTGCACGGGGCGTGAGGTTCGGGCGTGGCGTTCATTGCATGTCCCAAACACGCTCCTTGGGACTGGAAGCGTTGCAAAGAAAAAAGCAAATGATCCAATTGACCCATCCATGGTGACGTAAAAATAACATTAAAACAACGAGTCTTTACATGGATTGGTATGGATCGTTGAAGATTCCACCCTGAACCGATGGATCTCCTCCCAATCCTTCATCTTTCCTCCATTTTCCAAGTCCAGACTCAGTCTCCCCTCCACTCCGACGTCACACACCCCCAGCGCCTGCACGCCCTCTTGTAACGACCAAACCCGCGGTGTCCTGAGCACCGAAAAGATCCGAAAAGGCTTCGTCGGTCGATGTGATGGAGCGGTCGGAGCGGTCGCAGTCGGTCGATGTGGTCTTCTTCCTGTCTTTGAGAGATTCCTGGAAGGACACCCAGGCTGTTGTGGAATCTCTTGGCATCCTTCAACTCATGGCGCGCCATGTCCAGCAAGTTCACGGAATGATGGCAAGACTTGGGTACCACATACGTGGATTCTGGTAAAAGACTTCACTTGGTGACTTGGAGATCCGTTTCCCAACATGCTCCAAGTTTCCAAGTTCGGGAAGTCCATTCAGACTTCACTAGGTCTAGGTCACCTAGGTCAATCAGAGGTGTCCACTTTCAGAGGCTCCCTTCACTCTGACTTCTGAAGCACGTCCGTCTGGTGGGCCTTGCAACACGTACTCAGCGTCAGTGAATGGGGACTCAGCGAGAGAACGCTTGGAGAACTCCTCCTGCCTGCTGGCGACCAGCTTGTTTGCCCGGGCCTTCACACAATCGGCATGGCTCTGCAATACCCTCTGCTTCTATCGGCATGAACGAAGCTGCTGTAGTGAGAGCAGTGTCCACCAGGCAAGCCCTCTTCAGAGGGCTTGCAGCTGCTGTGCAGCGTCCACGTGCAGGCAAGCCCTTCATTGGGTAGTGTTTTAGAGACCTCGACGGTCATGGACAGTTGTCTGCAGTGCACAAAAATGCACCATGCACTCATCTGGGTGTCATGGTGCGGTGCTGGAATTCTTGTCCAGAGTCGAAACCAAAACTCTTTCATCTTGGGTGAGCAATGATAGAACTATAGTACGTACTGGTTCATACTTAGTAGGAAAACGGTACCCTCTAAGTGGGATAACTAATTTATACCACTTCTGCTCTGCAAGCTTCGACGTGCGCTAATCAGTGGGTAAATCCAACATTTACCAAAAACTATGTGATGTAAACAGTGATACAGTAAGTCGAACAATTCACATAGCCCGTATGCAAGACTTACACAGCCAGGACAAAAGTTGGCAACAAGCTTGCGAGTACGTAACCTACAACTACAACCCTTTCCCACTAGAATCCTACCGGGTATCACAGTGGAATGCCGGCGGAATAGTTTCCAACCCGAAATAAATCCGCCAGAATTCCATTGGGAAAAATACGTGATGCCAATGACATTCTCGAGTGAAGTTGTTACCAAACTGTCTTCCTCCTGAGGTATAACTTATAACCTAACATATCCCCACTTGCAACCTCACTTCACTGGCCAGTCTTCACTACTTGGGGTAAGCACTTGAAACAACATGTGATTCAAGTATCTTTCACCTATGATAGTGACCAAGGTCCATCACCCTACCATGTTGCTGGTGGGCCTGGACCGGAGCAACACTCCGTTTCCCGTCGCCAAGGGTCACTTGATCACCTTTGGAGCCGGCCACTTGGAGCCTCGGTGCACGGGGGCCCGGATGCCGAGCCGGACGAAGAGGGGTACCTGGAGGTAGACGACCTGTGCCCGGTAGACCTGGTAACTGGAGGGTCCA